GTGTGTGATTATTGTCAAATATTAAATTTCTATGCCAAAAACATTATTCACAAAATTTTATTTTTTACATTTTATTTAAAATAAAAATAAAATACCAAGATATAAATTATTTTAAAGAAAGAAAAAAAAAATTATAAGTTTAAGTTATTAGGACTAAATTACTAAATTTTTTTTATAGGATTTCTTGTTTGAAAATTGGAAATATATATATATATATATATATATATATATATATATATATATATGTATACACATATATGTATTGTTGTATTTTTTTGATTTGTGAAATTTGATTCTATGAGGTAAAATTTTATGTACCATCTTATTAAACTTAGACTTATTATAATTATCATAAATTCAATAAATAAAATTTTAAAATTTTAATTTTAATAAAATATAATACGCAATTCCAATCTATACTTTCAAAATTTCAGATTATATATAGTTTGAAATTTTTAATATTTCCAAAAAAAATTAAATTTATAGAGTGTAAATTATAAATAATATAAAATACTAAAATATTCAAATATTTAATTCTTTGTAGCAATTTTACGAAAAGAATCATAAAAATAATATTTTGTGTAAATAGAATTAAATGGATCTTTTTTATAAAATATAAAATATTTGTTTTTTAAATTTTATTTATTATTATATTTTAAAATAATACTATAAACTAAGTTATGTTAAATTCTAACTTTTAAAATTATTTCATCTGAAACACAAATGCATTTCATTAAATAGAATTTACTTCTCTAAAAGTGTCTATAATAATATTATGTTCTTTTAAAACATGTATATACAATCATTCACACACATGCACACACATATATATATATATATATATATATATTCATGTATTCGAATTTTTCTCTGAAATCTAAAGTTTTATTTTATCTATTGTCTTTTCTTTTAAGGTCACCAATCTTTCCAAAAAAATAAGGAGTCTTTTAAAAAAACTTAAACTTGATTTTACTAAACCTTGAACATTAATGCAACTCAAGTTATAAGATGAGTCTTTCTTCAACTAATTCTTTATTTCTTTTACTAGTGTATGTTAAAGTATTAGTAATTCTTTTAATTCCTTTAATTCTTGTGAATAAAGCCAATCCAAAGCTGTGAATTGTATTTGTTCTAATGCAGGCTTAAAGTTGTCTTAAAGTAAGAACTGCATTAGGATTTTTTGATTGTTGAATTTCTATTGCTTCTTGTATTTCATATACTAATATATTATAAGATAAGAAAATAGAACTTGAATATATATATATATATATATATATAGGACAAATTACAGTCTGGAAATGAAAAAAATAGAAATATATAAAAACATAATGTTATCTATAATCAAACAGAAAATTTTAAATCAAAATTATTTTTTTATTTTTTTTCCTTCATAGAGTGCAATCCAGGTTCTGTAGCATTTTAATAACGGGATATATGTATTTTATTATCTGTTAATTAAAAATAAAAAAATAAAAAAATGATTAATTGATATATATATATATATATATATATAGTATTTATATTTACATAATATTTTAAAATTTTGTTATTTTGATTCCAACTAAAACAACATACTTTATTTGGAAAGTTCATCATTGAAATTAGACTGTATATTTTTGGATATTTTCATCCATTTTAAAATAAAATCTTGTAACAAATGATTTTGTTGGGTACAAATATTAGAACAGAATTTCACATGTGCATGTGCAATACAAAATAAGGAGATATCGTAATGGAAAAGTAAAAACAAAACTGAATTGTACAATCTAAATATTTTTCACACATTAGTACAAATTATGTATAGATCAATTTCATCAATTTCATTACTAAGATTATTTTTATAATTATCATCGTAGGAATATTTTATACTACCATCCATGTTCTAACACCAACTTAATTTACAACAGCATTCATGGAAACCATACTCATAAATAGTCACAACAAAGAGGATACAACCACTTACATATCACAGTTTGTTGCTGGTGAACATTGTCCCGAAAACACCCAGTTGATGTTTATTTGGAGCCTCCCCACATTTAATATTCTCCACATATAGATGGCAGTTATTGTTTGGTTGGGGTGGAATAATATAGCATAATTAGGTGCCACATTTCTTGGTTTTGTAACCCACCATTTGTTGGAATTAGGTTGGCCTAAATGACGGAAATGGATCAAAGAGAATCTTCAGCTAAAACATTTATATTAATTCAGTTTCTGGGCCAAATTGTGTGACAACACCTGGAATCCTCCAGATTTTTATTTCCCTACACGGAATAATTTTTATTTTATTTTTACACTTACTGCAAATATGCTAAAATGCATAAGTTATCAAAAATAGGTCGTCTACCTTAATCCATGCTTTCTGAGGGTGGCTCTCCAGACATGTTGATCCAAAGGGGTCTGCCTATAGTGAAGAATGCAGCTGCAGATAGATATCTTTTGTCCTTAATCGTTATTGGAAGTGATTAGATCTCTGACAGTGTTGGATTAGGCCTCATCCGCGTACCGATTGTGTTGCGGGATACCAGCTCAAGTGTGTGAATTATCACCGAATTAAGGTAGCATTTCCATCCAGGAACATGCTCTTTGTAGAGGTCTAAGATGTAAGAGCTCCTGCCTGAATGTTCGAACTTGGACTTGTACCTGGTCTGTCCGAATGATATTGACCGTCTGAAAAATTGAAGTTGTATTTGCAATAACTAGTGTTTTTTTAGGTCAAGGATGCTTAGTCAACATGTTAGCTAACATTACGAGTTTTATGAGACTGAATTAATTTGGTGATGTTGTTTCACAAATTTCTGGTACTGTGCAATCATTTTACAAATTCACGTTTTCTCATACTGGTGATGGTAAAGTGCTTCTGCAACTACCTCGCGCTCACAAGACATGAAGCATTCAAGTTGGCAGAGAAAAGGAAACCATAGCTCGGTGATGCTTTTTAGGTTAAGTAAAGTGCCACCATCGTGCCAAGTTTCACAGATACATTTCTGTCGCCAGTTTCAGGAAGCAAACATAAATAAAAAAAGCTCTTCTTCATGACAACGGTGTCTTTGTCCCTCCAACAACAAATTCAATCTTCAAGCTTCGAAACCCAGGTTGTATCTGGGTGGGGTAAATGCTTCCACTCTAAGTAGACGTTGACCACCAAACTCCCAAAAGTACAGTCTCTGCACTCTTTAGCACTAGTCAATACTATGACATCACTTTTCTCTTTAATTTTCTGCCATGTATAGCATTAAGTGGTAGTACATACAACGGCAGTACTTACTTTCTTACAGTTACTTCTCGTCATGAACATCGTGATAAATAATGCTTACTCAAGCAATGTTAATTTACAGCAATTTAGGGCGCTTCCACCTCCTGCTACTTCATATTTTGCACCATCCTTGAGCACGCGACAACTTTTTGCGGGTATTCTAGTGATCTTCTGCATCCAGATGCATTATCTGAAGTGTTCCAGCGAGAGCATACAAATCCAGGTGGATATGACGTCTGAATACTCATCAATCCGTGGAGCGATTGCTGTAGCGTCCGAGCAACTGTCTTTTTCAAATGCTTACCTGCCAATGGTAACGCTCTACCATCCAACTAGCTAAGTTTAATGTCATCGTCCGCTTTAACTAAAGAGGCCAACCTCTCGCAATATGAACTTGATTCGTCGCAGGAAACATCAGTTTTCTATATTCTGGGGTTGTTGTTAGACCGACCACCTCGTAGAAAATTGCATGCGACAGTTACTTCGCACTTGACAGTGCGGATTGAGTGGCCAGAATGCAACGCGTAACCGAGGTGCTCAGTCTTAGTCAGTCTTGACTATGCCCGAGTTGAAGTAAAAATGATTTCCAGGAAACGGGCACTTATGGGGCAATAAACCAAGCTCCAAATTTAGCGCATTCAATCAGGCTCATGGCACGATATACGAAGCGTTACCATGTAGAGACCCTTTCTCGCAATATGATGGTTGATCTCCAGCATCTTAAACACCATATTAAACTGGCGTTTGAGTTTTGGGAATTTCTCAGCTGTCCACGCTCTGCTTGCTTTGGAGAGAAAAGGGGACCAGCTAAATGCCACCTGTGTAACTACCAAACCTCAACACTTCTGTAGTCGCCGTGTTTTTTGTTTTCCAGTAAAGGTCCTGTGGACTCTTTTTGAGAGCTGTCAAACATTGACTCTCAGAGCTGACTCTGGGTATGATTGGAATTAAGCATCGAAGGGTATAAACGTCACAAACCAACTCTACGATGTGGAGCATAAGTCTTAAATTAGAGATTTTGACTTCATCGCATACAGATACCATTAGTTCGGCGAATGGAACTTCCGGAACAATTGTTTCCGACTGAGAAAAAAGATATATAAATAGACTTAGGAGACTCTTTTTCATTGTGGTCATTTGTGAACATGTTTTGATTAACAACACAAAAATCTTTAAAACTTGTTGTTGGGACAAGGACGCACTACATAGTAGAACATATGAAGTATAAGATGTTCTTCAAAAGTCGATTTTTTTTCTAGCCAATATATCACTTTCAACAATTGGTAAGTGGAAAAACAAAATAGTAGTGAAGTGGGTCCCTGCTCCCACTTCTTCCAGTCAAATATGATTAGGGTTAAAGTACTCGGAATACGCGTACCTTGACCACCTACTCAGAAACTCAAATTGTCACTACAGCCATGCAGACCTTCCCTGTCAGGAAGAAAGTGTTCACACGATGGAGGATTATAAGCGGAAAACAAAATTACTGGAAAGATGCCTGATTAGCTTGATTGACGACAGTCAGAGGCGACAAGGTCGCCGAAGTCCTGCGATGTGCACAATATCTATTGCTCTACACAGTGCGGGTCAATGGCTTGGACTGCAGCACGCTGTGACTGGTAAACTGATAGACCTGTGCCGCCGCTGAGCCAACCAAAGCACGTTTCCAGCGACGTCATCGGTTGCTTCTTCCACCTCACCACTCCCTTGACGAGAAAACACGAGTGTTAGAAACGTCGAACCACAACCTGTGAAGGGATCAAACTTTGTGCAGGAACTGGTAGAGGGGGTCAGGGGGGGAGGTCCATGCATTGAAAATCTTGCATGAGGGAACAAAAGACGTGACTGTAGAAAAAATTGTGCACATGGACGATGAAGAGTGGTACATACGACGAGGGATTGCGGCTGACCCCACTCTTGGTCCCGTTTGAGTGTCTCGTTGTCACCCGGCGTCACGTCTGGGTTGGGAAACTAAACGCATGCACAATTGGGGGATACACATGTGGCGGTTCTCCCGTTTACAACTAGACTTTTGGGTTTTAAATTAATCTACTTGAGTAAGATTCACAAAGGTATTCCGTGGGAAAGACAGGAGAAACTCGTCTATGAAGAAGTTTCCACTGGCTAGTTCGGGATGCAAGGGTTTATTTATTTTGTAGCTGTGAGGACTTTTCTGCCCACACGTAATTTTAAGAGCGTGTTGGTGTTGTCGGAGGGAATCTCGTAGCTTTCCAGTAGTTGGCCGCGCTGCTGCACAGATTCAAGTTAATTTGGACGTCTGGATGTGGGAGGGTAGAGGACACCTGAGGATACTCTCGTCCACTGTTTTTCTTTCAGTGAATTTCAATGTTCGAGGTTTGTCTTGTGTGTTTTAACAGTCCGTCGTTGCTCTGCTGGTGTGATTTCAAGGTGTGGAGTCTCCCCGGGGTTTGTAGTCTGGCGAAACCTCCACTAATTCGACCCAAACCGAAAATTCTTCAATTTTCCGGATCCTACTCCATCTCGTCACTCATAGATTTTGCCCTCAGAGTTAGTGCGGTTGCGTCATAAATTGGCCTTGTGTTCCCACCATCGATACTTCTGCAATTCAAGTGCTTCATACTCGTTTTTGATCGCTCTAGAGTCGACAGTTCTCTGTGCTTCTACAGAGTGGAGGGATATTACTGACGATTTTTCCAGCTTCACCGGTGAAAGGTGTTCTAAGTAGAGACGACAGCAATTTTAAGGATTGAAGGCTTCGGAGAGTAATCAGTAGGTTTTGCAGGGTTAGAGATATACCTGGATCAGCCTAGATGGCTAGATCAGGACTGTTGGAAGATGGTGGCAATTTGTTTTCGGAATTAGGACGAACTCGGAAGCGCAACGGCAGCAATTCAAAACCAGGACGAGGTATCTGCCTATTGCTTGTGACCGTGTTTTTCACGTTGCTGCTTGCCAGCCGGCTGCTATGGTGCTTCATGTACCTGTTCAATAGCACAGCAACCGTTATGTACGTTGATCATCACACCGTCCACCCAAACCGAGATTCTGCTGCTTTCGCCGGTGAAAATGAGACGAAAGCCATGGGAGAAGGTACAATCGTGAGGGAATTGGGACGAAAAGCAAATGAGAGCGAACATGACCAGATCTTGGAGGACTCGGAGGAAAAGATAGTAGACGATCACGTTGACGAGAAAGAAGGAAGTATGGTAGACACCAATGTGGGTAACAAAAGAGCAGAGATAGAGGAAGTATGGAAAGATGAGGAACAGCTTGGGGAATTAATGGCGAAAATGACAAACATGGTGGTAAAACTTGGTGACGGTAAGGAAGAAGAAGAGGAAGACAAAGAAGAGAATGACGATTCCGTGGAAAAAGTAGCCCTTGACAACGGACACGCAGAGAAGATGAAACTGCCGGATGCCATTGCATTCTTGGAGCAGCTTGCTGGGAAATTAACAAAGACAGGTTAGTAACATCAAATTCGAGTACCTCAGAGGTGTGGTAACGACTGCGACTTCTTAATTGTGTTTGATCCCAACTCTGCAATCCTTGAAATATTCTTTCTGTGATGTATCAGGTGTTCATGAAGACTATGGCCCCTACCATTCTCGTCGAATTTTTGAGTCGGATTACGCCGAAATGAAGCGCAAATTACGGATTTTCGTGTATCCTCACGACCGCAAGGATCCATTTCACATGATTTTCGAGTCAGGAAACAAGGTACCTTCAGGGAATTACGCAAGTGAGGAGTTCTTCCAGCAATCACTATTGACGAGTACCTTCTTGACTAAAACTGCATCCGAGGCCGACTTTTTCTTCATGCCGGTTTCCATTACAAAGGCTCGCATGGACAAACGTATCAACGTTGGAGGCTTGCAAAGCTTTTGTGCAAATTATATCACAGATGTACGTTCGCAATGGAGCTACTGGAACCGAAGCAACGGCGCGGACCACTTTTATTTGTCCTGTCACTCAATTGCTCGTAATGCAATGGACAGAGTGCCTGACGTCCGACAGAACGCAATCCAGCTGCTCTGCCCTGCAAGCTATTTCCTCCCCTCTTACATCACACACAAGGATGCTTCAGTGCCGCAAATCTGGCCACGACTCGGTAAAGAACCTGAGGAAGTTAGGACAATTACGCAGAGGTGAGCTCGCAAACCCCAACTTCTTTTACAGCTTACCGAATTGCCCGAAATCTGCTGAACAGCTCACAATGGTGCTGAAATGACTCACTCTCAAACCGGTGCTTTTTCATGCAGAAAAAGATTAGCATTCTTCGCAGGCGCTCTCAATTCCCCTGTGCGAAAGGATCTTGAACGGACATGGGCTAACGACAGCAAAATACTAGTACATAAGGGTCGTGTTCCGTATCCTTATTCGGAAGCTCTGCTGACCACCAAGTTCTGCCTCCACGCCAAAGGATTCGAGGTGAATACGGCGCGTCTCGGAGACGCCATGTACTACGGTTGCGTGCCGGTGGTGATCGCGAACTATTACGACCTGCCCTTCCAAGATATCCTAGACTGGACCAAATTCTCCATTGTGGTTTCCTCTCTGGATATCCCTCTGCTCAAGAAGACCTTGGAAGCCGTCACAGATGAGCAATACGCCGAGCTCCATCGCCAGGTGCTCTTGGCGCGGAAGCACTTCCAGTGGCATGCTCCGCCAGAAGAGTACGACGCATTTCACACGGTGATGTATGAACTTTGGAAGAGACGACACATTGTGAGACGGTCCACCCAGTAACTAAACAATCGATTCTCCAGCAGTTGACAAAGCTCTCGTAGCAATCAATACTTTGTATATGAATCAATGACCATAGGTTTCTGCTAACATGCCATAGACTCAATTACGGTATAGATTTGTAGCGATTCGATTCTGGTTTCTATGTGTATTCTACGTAACTGACTACTCGAGACCAGAAGCATCAATATAGCTGTGTAGCGGCTTGGTGGAATGGCCGAGTTAATTGTAAAATATGAGGTCCTTTATAACCCCGACAAAGGAGGGCTGTTTCAGCGAATTCTGTAGTCATGCATTACTAAGCTCCAGTATTCTGTGTTTCTCCGGTCCTTGTGTTTGCCAATGAGTTGCTTGACAGTTACAGCATCGTAAGTAGCATGTTTCTGCTACGTTTCTTCAGATCTGGGTTTTCTGGTAAAAAACAATTCTGGGGGATGTGGAGGGCTGTTGGAATTGAAAGTCGCCTGAACAGTGCCGCAGTCGATGGAAACGGTGATGCTCTTCTGAAATTCCAAACTTTCAGTTGTGTGTTCGGGGGATAGAATGCGACAGAGACGTCGTTTTGCCACTAAAATTAGTCTAGATCATTTTCAAGATGCAACCAACTACCTGCTCAGACGTTGCAGTGTACTGTCTCTCATCGGATGGGCAAGTCACGGATATATTGCCAACTAACTGCTCTGGCGGAGTTTGAGCATTCTCGTCTGCGCATTACACCTTGAAGCCCCTTCAATAACTTCCTGCCACGGATCACCTTCTTCTCCGGCTCATCACTGATGCTGAAGAGCTGTTGAAGCTTTAAGATTTGGAAACGTACTCTGCTGCAATGGCTGCATATAGGGGCATGGCGAAGAACATGTTTGACGGAGGCAATGTGACTTTCGAAGATCCGACAGTTGCTGTAGATTTGTATGCGTACAGGCCGCCGTGGATGGAAGAAATCAAGAAGGTCGATCGCCACACCGACAGAGCCGGCGGCGTCTCCTTTGTAATCACTCGTGCCCATTCGGACTGTCTTAGACACCGGACGGAACTTAGAATTGCGCAGTGTCTTGGTGAATACCTCTCCACACTTCTACCATTTCTTAGCAGATGAGTCCATACCACCAATTACCTTCAGAAATTCCTTTCCACGTGGTAGCGACACTGCGATGTGCAGATTCTCACCGCCTGTTGCCATTCTCAAAGAACGCAGATCATTGCATAGGTTTACATTTGTGCTGGACAGGAGTTGCTTAGCACAGGGTCACCAATAACCATTTTCGATTTTCTGTGTTTGTGTAGCAAGAAGGACGGGGGACAAAGAAGTTTTTTCAACCAGGGAGCTCATTGGAAGGCAAAGTAAGACAACTCGGACAACCGCTTTATACAGTTTTGCAGAGTTCAAAAATCTTACCAAACACATCATCCACATCTTTCCCAATGCTGAAACACCTTCTGTGCAATTTCGCCCTAAATATGGAAATCCTAAAGCCACCTCGAACTCATGACAGGCGTTGTGACAAAACGGAATACTGTTTGTCTCTCTCTTCTAAAAGAATCACAGTTGTAGTTAACACGATAGCATGGTTTCGATGCTATCACCAGCTTTTGAACCAGAAAGCATCGCTGGTTTTGCACTCCGCGGCACAGGCTGGGTAAACGGGACACACTTCGGTGTCGTAACACATCGGGATTGTGATGCAGATGGCTGCGGAGCAATACTACAACCACACGAGACCACATCAGGGCTCCCTGGCGACGATGAGAGCCAACAAATCCATCAATACTCGCTACGCCGACGTGATCCGCACCCACCTCAACAAATACGGATGACACCCCGTGGGTTCAACTTGCGAGATTCCGTCGCTCCATCGGCGCTTGGACGCTGATCTGGTTTGATTCAGCAGCATTTTCCTCGCATTTCGCTGGTTCGAAGGACTCATGTGGGGCTTGGTTCTCAGATATCTCTAGCAACCTAAACACTAACTTTTAGGGTTTGTGCTCGACTAGTGTGCAACAGGAAAATGAATTGAGTGTTGTTTCAAGATGTTTATTCCAATCTTCTCAGTTTTGACATATTCTTTTTTTTTCGTCTGTGTAATATAGTCAGTAGTGGAAGGTTGGTGATTTATATATAAGAGTTGTAATTTGAGTTCGCTGAATGAGTGCGAAGTGTGACATGGCGGGGAATATACATCCAGTGGAGGGAGTGAATAAGTGCGGAGGGAGGACGGACCTACATCGGAGAGACGCGAGGCGACACTGAATGAAACTATTGTTTTCATCTTTGATTCCCTACTTACTACTGTAAAAGGAACAGGTATGTGCACTTAGGCTTGGTCTTACATTCCATCTAACCTGCCCTTGAATTGCGGTTACGTTATGGAGAAGAGGGGTATCGATTCCCATGCCTCTCGCATGCTAGACGAGCGCTCTACCATCTGAGCTACATCCCCGACTTGGTCGGTCACCAACCACCGCTCTGATCAGATGCATTTGAGTGATCCGTGTTCTTACCATCTATCCGTTTCTACCGCACCCCAAAACCCCCGCCCACCTCTCACCCCCCGTCCATTCCCCCCAGTTAAAGGGCCATCCTAGCCATTGAAAATCTTCGACCACATTGCATAAACTTAAATTCACAGAATGAACCTGGCCAAGCAACTTCTGTGGAGACAAACCCGAAAACAAAGTCTCTGAAACTACACAAGTGCACGTATTAAAAATTCAGTATTGTTCATCACGTCAGCAACATTTGAAAAATAACGAACAGAAAAAACAAGAGCTCTCGTGCTCCTGCATATACCTGGGTGTAACTGTGCAAGTAACCAAAGTGTGGACACCAAATAATATATATATATATATAAATAAATAATTATATAATTATATATATATATATATATAATTATACAGTGTCAAAGTCGTAAAATCGGATGCTCAATGCTCGATCCATCATCCAAAAAGCTAAAGGCAACCCCGATTCTATGAAGCAACCAGACGACGCAGGGCAACTCAAGTCACAGCCCTAAGCTTTCGACTTTTAGGGTTTCAATTTCGTGGATTGGAGTGCCCATAAACCTAAACCCTGGCGCTACGAGAGTTCTCTTTTGTCGCTGTCGCCTCGCCTCGCCTGTGTATCTGCTGCCCGTTTCGTCTGTCGTTTCGTGTAGCGTGTAGCGCCAGCAGCCAACATGCAGAACGAGGAAGGTGATAATGTGGACCTCTACATCCCGAGGAAGTGGTAAGTGTGTAACTCGCGTTTTGTTTCCGCTTTTGTTGTTTATGGTTTATGAATTATAATTTAGGGCTTGGGAATTCGGTGGCTGACAGGTAGTTTGTTCCAGCATCTATTTGTTTTGCGTAATGGTCAGTAAGCCTCGAGATTCTACGGGACTGGGTTTGGGTTTCGTTGAGACGAGATGGAGGTTACTTGTGTTGGATGTCGTTGGTTGCACTTTGGGCGGTTTGGATGATAGCCGTTTTAGGTTATTTTACGTCAGTGCTGTTGAGGGTAATGCCCTCTGTTGCCGTGGTTTTTCTGTGCCTGAGAAGAATATCAGTTGCTCGTGGAGTCTTCGAGAAGTCCCTTGATTTGTGTACGGATTGTCTATGCGGCTGCAGCTCTTCGACCAACAGGTTGATCACTTCCAAGGATGTCGCTTCAGTTCAGCTGAATGTGGGTCACGTTGACGAGAACGGCGTGTATACCGGCCAGTTCACCACTTTTGCCTTGTGCGGCTTCGTCCGTGCTCAGGTTTGTGACAATTCCTTTTTTTAGCTTGACATTCTCTCTCTGATCGGCTTTATGTCGTTCTTGTATTGGCTTTGTCGCGGATATTAAGCATAATGTATCGCGGAGCATATTCATGCGTCCAAATGATCTTTATCCTCAGTCGAATGAGCGCTCTAAGGAACTGGGTGGCAGTGTTCGATGAATGAAAGGAATCCTGCAATATTGAGAGTTTGGGACTCTGTAACCCAACCTAAAACCCGTGATACAAGGACGTGGTGATTTGGAAAATGAATTATTCACTGTACACATTTTCCGATTATTTTGCAGGGCGATGCCGACAGTGCTCTGGACAGGCTGTGGGCAAAGAAGAAAGCTGAGCTCGGCCAGTGAACGGTGAAATTATAGACTGTCATGTGACTAGGATCCCACTTTCGTTAATCCTAATCGAATCGTCTTTCTACCCAACTTTTTGTGTGCAGAAACTTGTTCTGTTGTGACCTTCTACATTGCTTGTGTTTCTTAGCCGCATACCACTCGAATTCGTCTTTGTTGTAACTTTTTCGCCACTGTGTTTATATCTCTGTCTACTGTTCTTGACTGATGTTGACATTGATTTCTCCCTACTTGCTTCAGAGTCTTGTTATTTACATCAACATTTCGATCTAATTCGATTGCCGAATGTAGTCCCTGAGTTGCTGACTGAAAACCCGATTTTGAAGTAAGATTTTAAATCTACTGTCCGAACGGTATAATATGTTAAAATTGGCTTACTTTTCAACCTGTGATAGTGTAATCCATACCGCGTTATCTTTTTTAGATTGTGATTCTTCGCGCTGGTGTCCCGAACGAGAAAATATCACACTATCTTACATTCAACTTAAAACATGGTCCATTAGAGAATGAACTCAGTTTGAACAGTTCTTATCTCAGCAATGAAGGGTAACCGTCTTCATTGTCTGGACCACTTGAACTTTTAATAATTGATGGGTCCAGGCCAACTTATTAGAGGTTAGCACAACACCGAATGTGATACATGTGCAAGTGTGAGTACGGAATTAGAATATGTAGAAACCCCCTGGTCAATCCAAATGAAGGGTTCACAGTAAGAGAGCAATATAGTATTTGTCACAGACTTTTAGGATTCAGCATTAGTAACACTGAAGATGGCAAAAAAAACCATTGTTTGACATTTTCACAGTGTAACCAGTCCTGAATCAATAGATGCCCACGCTGCTCAATTTTAACAATCTGACTTTCACTTTGTCAGCAGTGTTCGTTTGTCTACCTCAGCTGGAAGTACGCAACTCTGAAATCTTGTAAATGGGACGATACTGATACATCTGACTTAACGCGCCATAAACGACACTGATGAGGATGTAAGGTATTTAGCTGAGCTACCGTTGCAGTAAAATTTTGTGAAATGCGATAGCCCAAAACCAGCATGTGTACACTACGAACACTCTCAATACCTTAGCAATTCGGAATGCCCTCGTAATCGTAAACAGTAAACATAGCAGTAGATAAATCTTGAAATTTTTCTAATCTTGTGCAGTAGGATCGATAACAGTCAATGTTATCAGGTCAGTTGGTAAACTTCGCAAGGTGAAAATATCCCAAGCAAAGTGACTGCTTTCTATTGTATCAAACAATATATACATCTATGGGATATCATGATATGTGTATTTAGACTGTTCACATTCCAAAATGATAATAGCCTATGTGTAATTCTGCAATGTTAGTGAGATTATACATTTACATTTCATTATACTAACACTACTATTTTTTGTTTATAGGGCAAATTGGTTTAATATAAATAAATGAATGCATACATCTTCAATCTTATACTTTGTTATTTTGTTGTCTTACTGTAATCGGTAAAAATAGATTTACACTAAAAACATTCTCATACTAGCAAACAGCTCTGTGCTAAGCCTGTTATATTATATCCAATTTAAAACACTATTTATATTACAATTGTACAGACCATGTATCAGAAAAGATAAAACTTGTCTTTATGATTTGCTACTTAATAAGTACAATTTTACATTCATGTACAGGACCAATTTAATAGCACACATCTCTTATCTTTGGTCTAGTTGCCTTTGTAAGTAACTCGATGTAACCACCAACAAAAATCCCTAGGCATCACATGTTGCCATGGCTTTGCTCAATTGTGAGCCTTAGAACTCAGAGCTAAGGGCATGTCACGTGCTTGCAATTGTCCAAAGTGGAGCCATTGATTTTACATTGGCATGGACATAATGATGGACAGTGAGAATGAAACAAAGGTAGAACTGCACAATAGGACTGATATCCCCCCTTCTTATACGATTTATAATTAGGGGCATTGTGAACAACAAGCAAGAGCTAGGAAAGCTCCATCTAGGGATGTGACAAAGTAGGTAAGAGGCAACTAGGGGCAAGGAGGCATAAAAAGGAAGCAGAATGGTGACAAAGGATGTTTAAAAAAGACAAAGATTAGCTGGGGTTTTAGGTGGCCTAAGCACACTAGGCGGGGTGAACATCATCATAGTTGTCATTTTTTGCCCTTGTTGTAACCATCTATGGGACCAAAACCAACAACAATTTGGTAGTTCGTAATAAGCATGTGCAAGAGGTATAATTGGGCACGTTGGTAGGCAACAAGAAGAGGATATTGAGAAGCAAGGAAGGCATCACATATTGGGTGAATATTTGAGGATAGATAAGAGGAGAGAAATGTGGATGAGGCGATGAGTTGTAGTCATTATGGGCCATTTGAAAACAAACAATGTTGGTCCATTTGTGATAGACATTGTTGAGTCAAGGTAGATGATAGTGGAGGGCTTTCTTTCTAGAGTTTGCTCATGATTGGGAGGTAATTGCAAATTGGGAGCATTAAAAATAACTAGTATTGGCTATAGCAAAGAACATGGAGTGTAGAAGAGGATGTGAGGTTATATTGGTGGAGGTCTTTGTTTTATTATTTGTTGCATTAGTATGGATGTTTAGAGAAACTACAGAAGTTTTTTGATTGATGGAGAGGTACAATGTGGCAAGCAAAATCCAACATTAAACTTGGAGTTGAAGGTTAAATATTTCATTATATTCTTGCAAAATATTGCTTTGTATTAAGGACTTTGCAATAGATTATACTTGATCATTAAATTATTGATTGATTGAATTATAGATGCAATAGTGTTATTTAGGAATTAAAAAAAGCAATTGGCTTTTCTTCTAAGGATTATATTATGCTTGCCATCTACAAAGATTCCATTTAAGTTATATCAATTTTTTAATTTTTAATTTTCTAATTTTTTTCAATAGAAGTGCTAAAGACATAAATGACAAATAATAAAAACTTCAATATATTCTTGTTTCACTAAAAAAGAGTAGATATTCACTCAAAGATAACATAATATTAAAATTAGAATGACTATTGCTAAAAACAAGATAATTAGTGATTCTTAAAACAAACCTAAGAATAAGATTGAAGAAGGCCTTATTATTACATCCATATATACTTTTCAACTTGGAGATATGTAACAAGGTTCTATTAAATCTATGATATATGTCCAACTTGCAGAATACATGTTTAATTTGCAAGACATGTTTTCTACATATACATAATATTTCCAACTTGTAATATAAGCCATCAACATGTGCAAAACAAGGCCAATTTTTTGGCCAAGTTCTCATTCTACCAACCATCTACAAATATGTATAAAGTCAAATCTAAGTCTATAATGCTTCTAAGTAGCTTCTATATAAGATATTATCAAATCTATTTACTTCTACTTAGTCCTATTTAGCTCCTTCAATCTTGATAAATATATATGTCCATGACAAAAGCCATATTTACAATGACCATTAGCAAATATCTAATTCAATCATTGAAGAACATAGAAATAGATCTTAGAACATCTATATGTACACATAAACAATTGTATGTTGCCATCTTACAATGCCTTCTCCAAATATGATCAAGATTCTCTATCTTGAAAATAATAAAATAAAGACTCTACTATAAATATAGTTTATTATGATTTTTTTTAAAATTAGCTATTTAAATTGTAATATATAAGAATTTTTTTTGCCAATAATAATAAAAAAAACTTAAATTATTTAATTGTAATGTATATATATATATATATATATATATATATATATATTTCTTTTTTGACATATATAATTTATAATTAACTTATACACTAAATTTAAAAATTAAATTATTTTAAATAAAAGATTCATTTACTGTTCTTATAAAATAATTAAAATTATATTTTTTAATATTTTTTAATTTAAAAATAAAAACAAATTTAATATTAAGAACCTTGAATATACATTAAGCAATATATTAATACATATATTATATAAAAATATATAATAATTGTTAAATTCAACAAAAAATAAATTTTTGGCAAAGAAAAAAATGATATATATATATATATATACATATATATATATATATTATAGTATTAAATTATTCTAAATTAAGTGAAATATATTTTATTTTAGCTTAGTAAAATTTAATTTCTAATTATAAATAAAATATTATTTTTCTATTTTTTTTTTAATATTTTATAATAATAGAATATTTGATAAATGAATCTTATTAATATCATATTTAAAATAATTATGATAAAAATTTGAAATATATAGTAAATAATTCAAAAACTCAAATTTGAAATTAACTAAATTAAATCAGATATACAAAGAAAATTGAAAATATTATAATTTTTTATTTTTTAGAATAAATATTTCACAATAAAAAATAATAAAAAAAAGAAAGAGATTACAACTTTAAATGCTTGTGACTAGTTGAAATCTAGAAGCCTTACTTGGTTGGCTTTATACTTTAAAAAATTAACCAAGAAGCCTCAAGAAAGGAAAAAAATGAGGTAGAATGCATTTTATTCTTATATAGAATGAATTATGTTATATGTCAAAATTGGAGATGGATCAATCTCAATGCAATGGTTTTTTCAAAACTTAAAGAAGTTGTATTAAAATTTTCTAAAAAATCTATTAATTTCAAGAATTTTAGATTTTTATACTATATCATTACTTGTATAAAAATTTCTTTTATAACTACAATATAGATTTTATTTTTATTTTTATTTTTTTAAGATTATAAAGTCTTTTAATCTATTTCTTATAGATCTTCTATACTTTATATATCATATATGTAAATTATTTGTCTTGTATTATTTAAATATCAATAAGGATAAAATTATTATATTATTTAATTTTAATTTTTTCTTGTATCAAATACATTACAAAGTTTTATAGATAGATCTATATTTTAAGAATAATTATGAAAGTTGATTACAAAACTAAAATTTGTACAAATATTTTTAAGATAATATTTTATTCATTTCTTTAAGTATAATTTTTTTTGAATAATGTAATATATTTTTTTATATCCTTTCGATATAATTGAATAAAAAGAATATGTAAACAAAGAATAAAAGAATAAATAATTT